TACTCATATGTCTCTGCCCCCCAACCCTACCCTCACTTCCCTACCCCTCCATTTCCATTCACATATAAATTCACACACGCGGATATACCTCAATAAAATAAAAACACACACACACACACAGGACAATGGCCACGTAGTTTACACATACACGTGTTCACACACGGCCACATCTTGCACTCATGCACTGCCTCACACACTTACCATGTGATGTGCGGTGCGCCATGGGGTCCAGATGAGTGGAATCTCAGTGTTGGCTCTCGCTACACTGAGCACGGCAGGGGGTCCTTATCGTCACAAAAATCAACAAAGCCACAGTCACGAAGCACTGTCTCGATCACTCGCACAAACACAACCACACACACTCGTACACTATCTACGTGCGTGTATGCACGCAGGCATAATCATGTACACACCGGAAATACAAAAACCAGAAGGAGTAAAATATGAACAACAAAAAGAGGAGCGAAGGCGCTCATACACGCACACGAAATTACGGAAGCTTAAAAAAAACGCTCTGGTTCTGACACGCAAAGACATGAGCACAGCTGTGAAAGGTTTTCAGAAGGACATACACGCAAACACACCTCAGAAGCCTTCGTGCACTTTCTCAGTTGAAATATAAAATAATTTTGGAAAATTAGGTTTAAAAAAAAAAAAGACATTGACCCTTAAATGTCCCTTTACTCCATAATCCCTTCTTACATGCTTGCGTGATCTGTTGTGTCTGATTTCACAGACCAACAGAGAGAGCAGCTCAATGAAGTGCCAGCTAAGCAGATAGACAGGAAAAAGCATTTGTGAGATTGAATGAGAGAAAAAGAGTTTAGAAGGATTCAGGTATGATGTGAGGCAGCACTCCTGCCTTTGCCTTTGTGTTTTTTCCTCTCTAAATCCACCACCCATCATCGTATCACTTGATTAAACCTAATCCTAATGCCACTAATCCCCCAGGCACCCAAAAACGCCTAAGTGCCTTGTACCCCTTCACATCTCTAAACAGATTTCAGTTTCTCTGTGGCTGTTTCATAGCTGTGGGTTGTATTTTTTTTTGTGCTTTTTCTTTTCAAACATCTTTCAAGTTTTTCAACTTGGGTCTAACTAACTAATGAACTAATAACTTATTAATTTCTTTAACTGAACATACTTTCTGCTGTCTATCTTCCATTTAAACTATGACTTTCTACAATATGGCAACAAAAACTGTTGTATAAAAGATAGGTTTCAGTTGAGGAAAAAATAATCTAAATAAAAGATTTAAGTATCAAAAACACAATGGCTTTAATGGATACTTCAAAATAGAGAGGACTGTAACATAAAATTAAGTGCAAACATTTCATTTAAACCACACACACAAACCACACAATCCTAGCATGTCATGCGCTTCTCATTGCCGCTATTTGTTAAGAATCAAAGTTGCATACTTGTGCTGCATTCCAGTTGTTCTGGGAAGTCAGAATCTCCAAGTGTGAAAATACATCAGGAACGCCCCCCTGAAGTTTGATTTCCGACTTGGAAACATAGACTGTGTAAACCCCAACATGACCACAACATCATAATCCAAGATGGCAGTCGAGAACAGTCGAGAGTAACAGTGAAAGCTCTCGTAATGTATTTTTTTTATTAGCACTTCTGTTTTGTTTTTGTGAAATTAAATAAGTGTTACATGAAGCACTGCCCGATGTCTAATACTGTGTTCCAGTTACCTTGGAATTTGGATGTCGGAGCTGAGAATGATGTTACACCCGAGTTGACGGCGTTCCAGTTAATAAGTCTGAAAACCAAGATGGACGCCTACAGTTACCTATTGTTAGCTGTTGTTTACAATTGTCAACTGTCGTTAATCTGTCAGTTGTTGATACTGTTTGTCTGCTGTTACTAGCCGTTGTCAGCTAATGTTAGTTGTTGTTAGCTTTACCAGTTGTAAGCAACACATATCACTGTATTTTACTCTTAAACACTGTAGCACCGTGTTCACAGTTAGACGTTGGGCAGTACAACATAAACCACTTATTTAATTTCACAAAAACAAAACAGAAGCACTAATAAATAATACATTACGAGAGCTTTCTCTGTGACTCTCGACTGTTCTCGACTGCCATCTTGGATTATGACGTTGTTGTCAAGTCGGGGTTGGTGAGGATTGTTTGACTTTCTGAGTCAGAAATCCAACTTCAGGGGGGCGTTCCAGATGAAGTTCCGACTTGGAGCTTGGACATTCCGACTTCCGAGTACAACTGGAACACAGCATTATCAGAATCTGGAATACTGCATAAATCCAGGGGGGAATTCAAGAATCGACTGTAACAGGCTCCATGAATGGTCGGAGCATGCATGTACAAAGAGTTGTTTTATGAAGTCATAGACCCTCTCAGCTGCAGGAGCACAGGTCCACTTTCCACATGGCAGAGACTTCTCCTACAGTGATAAGTTGTGTTCCCAATTTAACTGTTAGTCATCAGTAGTCTCCTGATTTCCAGTGTGGGTTTGGTGCTAAAGTGAGTGCGTTTATGAGGCTTAACCACACACACACACACACGCACATATCCACATGCTCACACATATACCCACCTGCCATCTGCCTACTCAACTGTATTCTGCTGCAAGTTGGAATTAAAAGAAGTTAAAGGAGAAATGCTTCACTTACCGACAATACCTGAGCAACACTCAACATCCACAACCAGCTTTATTATTTACTTTTATTTTCTAATTCAGAATCTGTTATAAGATTCTTCACATTCCTAAATGTTTTCAAATCCAGTTTAAAGTTATTTTTGTGTGGAAACTGATTTACAACATGTTTTTATGAGCGGCCTTTGATGTACACAATGTGAGTGTGCACCATGCATGCCAGTGGGTATAATTCAGTGAATGTCTTTTAAGCTGGTTTTTAGCCATGGACTTAATGTGCAAATTAACATAGAGGCTAGACTCAAAATGTGGGTGTGTATGTTTGTAACATGAAAGGTGTGTGTTCGTGCCAGGGACCTTATTCTGGTGTTGTGACGAGCCAGATGGATCATGACAAAGGTAGGTGAGAGAGAGGAACAGGAAGATGAGGAGGAAGAGAGGGAGAAGGAAAAAGCACAAAGGGAAAACATGAAACATTAAGAAAAAGCCAAAGAGAAGTGAAAAGCTAGACTGAAAACAGCAGAAGAGAGGATGTCAGTCTGGGAATAACTAGATCTTTTTATGTGTCTTGTCTGCATAACAGTCCACCTCCACCCCCTCAGCATATGAGACAATGACTGCAGACATTTGCGCACAGACACACACGCAGACAGTCAGGGAGTTAAAAAGGCATTATATAAATTAATTATAGTTCTCATCCTGGCAAAACACCAACCACCCACAGAATGCCCCCACCTTGTTACCCCCACCTACACGCCTTGCACCACTCCTAAATGTTTCACATCGGGCGAGAGGTAATAGCCACATGTTTAATTAATAGAGCATTGAGGCACTGTGGAGGGGTCTAAGTCAAGAGGCACAAACACTGTCCTAGTACCTGTATGTGTAGACACACACACACACACACACTGTGGATGTGGATGTGGATGAAGCAGAAGCTCTGCAGTTACTGACTTCAGACACACACACACACACACACACGAAATACATTGCAAATGTACCCTGAGGCATTAGGTTTGTCTTGTGGAATTACATTAAATATAATTACTTTAAATGAGAGCTTTTGTAACAGATATCTATGAAGTCTGTGTGCAAAGAAATAACACTTGTAAGCAGTACATTATTCAAACTATTTTAATAGCTTTATTGTAGTTGAAATTTAATGTTTTAAACAAGAGAAAGAAAAGCTATAGAAATGTTTGTCACGTGACGTTAAGTTGTGTAACACTGGCACTAAACAGCATCAGACACAAAGGAAAAAAGACATTATCTGCTCCTTTCTGTTCCTCCTTTGTGTCTTTTTTTCTTTTTATCATTTGTTCGTGTCATTCTTCACATTCAGAGGTATTTTTCCAAGCATATGCCTTTAAGAAAGAGTAGTATTTACAGTTGCTTGTGATAGTAGTAGTGTATGTGTGAGTGTCTGTCTTTCTGTCTGTCTGTCTGTCTATAGAGGTTAGTTTTGTGGTTTGAGTGCTAAGTGAACGTGTCAGTGCCCAGGGCAAGAGGTCTCCCCACAGGCATAAACTCAGTCACGGGTGCACACAACCCATTGGTGGTGCAGACATTCTGCCCCCCAGGGTAATGGCATGTATGCATACGCCTGTGTGTGTGTGTGTGTGCGTGCATGTGCATGTGTGCATGTGTGTATGTGTTGAGTGAGTAATTGTATGAATTTCCTGTCTTTTTGAGGATCCTTTATGTAAGTGAATTTTTCTTTGAGGGTGTCTGTTAAAGTCTGAGTCTGTTCTTATTACCAACACACGTCCATGCTTGTTACCCATGTGAGACTTTAAGGTGTGTGAAAATCCCTTGCTTCTCAAGGTGTGTATTTCACATTGTACCTTTTATTAGCCTCTGTGTGCATAAAGTGGGACTCTGACTGTGTAAGAAAGGCTTGTGTCTGTGTGTCTGTGTGTATGCGTGCGCAAGAGTCAAGCCCAAGCTGGCACAACTCATCATGAAGTCACTTGTGTATTGTTTGCATTTTTGGTAAAGGACAAAAGAAACAAAAAAAAGCCTCTCACTAAAATATTCATACCCATACACACACTCGAAGTATTTTTGCTGTATCTATGCTTGGAGGATCTGTGAGGACATCTGCATAGTAAACGCTAAAACCCCTTCAGCCTTCGTCACGAATATCGCACGCACGCTCTTCCTTTCATTCTCTTTCTCTCTTTCACGTTTCCTTTTCACATACTTGAACAAACTTGCACTGCAAATAGATAATAGCCAATTCTCTCCAGAGCAAAAGATTGTTTTAAAGCTTTTTTCTCCACCCACACTAATACGCTTCCCTCTCTCACTTTCTATTCTGTCTGAACAATTTGTTTCTCCCGTTGATCTCAAGAGTTTCATTACAGAAAAAAAAGATCATTGCTTGGCTTTCTCATGTGAACAGCCACAAAAGAAAACCTTACAAAGAAGTGCACTGCTTTTTTTTCCCTCTGTAATTCATATTAATAGTTTTTTTTATTGGTCTTTACCTGAGATCTGTTTTTGCTACAGATAAAAAGATTGAAAAACAATAACAGTTCAATGTTTTTAAAGTTATACATCTTTTGGCACGGACCACAACAAGATGAGCATCCCAGCTGTGAGTATTCTGAGTTTCTAAGGTTTTACCGCAGGATGTGGAGTTAAGGAATAAATGTTTTGGATTGCATTTCCAGCATGGCTATAGTTAGGTCTGTTGGTCACTTAAGCGCAGAGTAAAGTATCTTGACCACAGGCCTAATGGAGCAAGCAAACTCTGATTTTGGCATTTCAAATTTGTAATCAAATTTTTAAATCAAAATCAAACAAGAACATTTGAACTAACGGGGCATTTACACCAAGCGTGAGTAAAAACATCTACTCGCTTAATTCGTGCGAATCTAGACGCGTGAATGAAGAGTATTTTCTCGCTCCATTCTCATGTCGACGGTAATTTCATTGGTGATCCCTGCAAATTCATCTGGCAGGATCAAGTGATAGACAAAGGTTTTGTACAATTTACCAGGTAATCCAACCTCCTTATTATACATTACATTTTCAGCTCTCGCCCAGTTCGAGTCATTTGAGTTCGAGTAGTAGGAGTGTCTAATCGCGTCCTTGCATTGACTTAACATGTAATTCATTCACGCAAATGATTTTACTCACACTTGGTTTGTGGAGACAGTTAGAAATTCTAATAATTTGAGTCAATTTTGTACATAAAAGTCAAGCCGTAATTTTATGACGTATGACACTTCACAAAATTTCTCAAAACTTTTAAAAGTCACATTGTCTTAATTTTCATGAGAAAAGAAGCATACAAACCGTGTGCCTTTATTAACCAAAAGTGATAGATATTAACAATCGTTTGTCGTGATTACACACATAGTTTTTAGCATTTCTCGACTGACAACTTCTGGTGTATATCTTTTCAAAGACATCGATTTGGGATGATACCTTTGAATGAAGATTAACAATTTAGAAGTACAATATGGGACATTTACAACCAACCTTCAGAGTTTGGGCTGTGGTTTCCCAGTGAATTCATGCAGATCTCTTATGTGTGTTTGGAAACATTATTCTGATCTGATAACTTGCACATAGATCTCTGGTTTGATAAACTAATATGATGACCTGCAGTCTGAAGAAAGCCATGAATGCAAGCACATAAACTTTTGCACAGACGTTAACCCCAGAAATGAATAAAAATGATTTATTGATGCTGTGTCTGCAGTGCTGTTAAGTTATACATAGAAAGTCTTTACAATAAGTGATTTAGATCGACACAAATTATCCTAGTCTGGGCAAAACTACAATGTTAAACATATCTAATCTTTACTGTTGGTGTGGCTGCAGAGTAAAAGGCCAATGCTTGTAAGTGCATGGGGTAAATCTTAACCTAATGTGACAATACACCTGAGCACACCTTTCTCATTTTTTATTCAATGCCAAAATACCAAAGGGTGGAGAGAGTGGTGAAAGTAGTTTTTGCTTCCTATTGAACTTGGGAACCTGAGAAAAGAATAATAGACTCTACTAGTTGGAATAATCAATGACACTTAGACACTTCACTATGAACCATACTGCTCTTGATGTTTACATGGAGTGTTAAGTCTAGTGAGTTAATGATTTCATTGCATTGGATCTAAGCGTTAACATGTTTCCCCTCCTACTCTGGTACTTTGTGTGACTGCAGTGCTCCTCTAAAGCCCTCTGCTGTCCTTCTGTCTGTCAGGGCTGCTATAAGACAGACTCCCGCTGTCCTGAAGACATGAGGCAGACAGCGTGCACCTTGACCTGACATGAGGAGACAAGATGCTAACATAGAGCAAGAAGGCACTTTGATCGGTGAAGAAAGCTGCATGCAGCTGATGGAGAGACAGAGAAAGCTTTCTCCTCCTAAATGCTTCACCTGTCAATCATTTGTCATGTCAAGAGCACTTTGAAGAGTTGCTGTCTCTCTGTCAGTCTTGCTCAGTACCCCTTAAAATATTTGATCTACTTTAGAAGGAAAACGAGAAACAGATGAAGAAATAGGAAGACAGTGTGGGAAAGATGTTCATTCATTTATAACCATTTTACTGGAGAGACTTTTTTAAAACTAGACTGGTGAAATTTTTACAACCTGTTTGTATAGTTATGGGTCATCAGGAAGTTAGACTTCAAAACACTAATTGAAAGTCACCTGTATCCAGAATTCAGGCTATTGTCTTCATGTAAATAATGTTAGCGTCAATTCTACAGAGTGGCCCCGTATTCAAATTCATAATTATGATTAAATTATAACCAGAGAAGCTTGTTTGTTGGATGGAGGTGGATCTTATAGGCATATAATTTTGAAGAGCTTTTATTTGTAGAGGAAGCTTATAAAGATCTGTGGTGCCTGATGCGCTAAAATTAGTTACTACTTTGCGATCTTGGTATCATTGTTCTGCATCTTTTGTAGTTTACATCTGATACACATAAGCAGAAAAGGATATAACTGACAGTATGTCTACATGACTGCATGTTCATGTTACGGATAAATACGTTCACAAAAGAGCATGTCACCCTGTTTACATCATGACACAGTCTATTTGGAGCTTTCTGACATGAGAGCTGTCAGCGTGTCATCCAACTTTCAGCTGCCTTGCTGCCACGTATCAAGGGGATAAAAGCTTGACGGATTTTATCACCCATCAGCCTGAAAGAAGTGATAACAAAAGGAGAATTTGGGAAATTGTTCTTACAGACAGACAGCGGTAAAGAAAATAGCTGAAGGAGGGATTGAAGTATGTGTTTCTCCACCTTGAACAACAGACGGATAAGAAGGTGTTTTTGATACCAGATGTTGTAAAAGATTTTGATGGATAATGGGGTCAGTGAAAAAGTTTTCATAGATAGCTTTGACACCTTAGCTGTACAGACCGTATGAAAATATCCATGCAAAACTGAATGCTGCTGATATTCCCATCCTAAATATGATGAACTAATGGGTAACACTGTACAATAAGATACACAAAATTAGAGTTGTTACTGAGGAAGTAATGTGAACTAATAAGTAGTTACTGAGAAACTAAGGCACACAAATGATCAGTTCTTCAATAACCCCTGATCAAGTTTCAAAGGAGTAGTTACTGAGGAAGTAATGATAAAGTACCTATTAGTTAATAGTCAGCTCTTAAGTAACCCCCGATCAAGTTTCAGAGAAGTAGTTAGTAAGGAAATAATAATGAAGTAAGTATTATTGATCAGAGTTTCAGTAACTTCTGATCAAATATCAGAGGAGTAGTTAGTGAGGAACTAATGGATAGTTACTGAGGAGCAAATGAGGAACATAAAAAGGAACTAACGATTAGCAAATTAGCCACTGAGGAACTAACTATTACTTAATCATTACCTACATTTTTGTGTACCCTAAAGTAAAGTATCATTACGTCATCATGGCCATGCATACCGTCCTGGACAACCTGGCACACCCTCTCAATGAGTTCCTCATTAGTTTCTCAGTAACTACTCCTCTGAAATTTGGTCAGGAGTTCCTGAGGAACTGGCCATTGACTAATAGTTAATCATTAGTTCCTCAGTAACTGCTCTAATTTTGTGTTCCTTTGTCCCTCAGTAACTACTCATTAGTTCCTCATTAGTTCTTGATTAATTCCTCATTAACTACTGTAATTTTGTGTACCTTATTGTATAGCATTACCAACTAATATATCTAATCTTATCACTATAAGTTACTTTTTCATGTAACACACCACTGATTAAATCATCGTTTTGACAATCATCAGTACAAAAAAATGATAAAAGTAGATCATTTGTTTAAATGCAGTTTTAACTTAAACGCTTTTAAAATTCTGGATTTGTCTGCCATAGATACAAAATATTGCTTCTTGTAAAGGTTTTGAAACAGAAACTTTCCATTAACTTTTATCTCAGATAAATAAATGAAGGATTGTGAAAGAAAGTGTCCATATGAGAAAGAGGGTGCTACAAGAACAAATTGTGTTAGTACCACAACTTCACAATCCCAATTATTTATATGTGCTTATTTATTTATTTATTTATATTTACTATTTATGTTTTCAGGGAAAATGATAAATCTTTTTAAATATGCTTCTTGTGTTTCATAACTGGTTGTACCTCCCTAATTACACCTCTGAAAAATATTCTTGTATCTAACAACTGTCCTTTTTCTCTCAGATGAAGCACAGTAGCACTGTCAATTGTTGTTTGCTATGACTTCCACCAGTTCAAACTCAACTGGATGAAAGCTGAGCCCTAGGGACAGAGAGAGATTACCAAGAGAGAGAAAAGGCCCAGCCAGAGGCAGATCTGGGCAGAGTCAAGTGGAGGAGAGCATTTCAGCTGAAGGGACAGGAAGAGAACAGAGAGTGAAGCATCAGAATGGAGCAAGAAGCCAAGAACAAAAGCAGAGAGGGCTGTGAGCAAAGAGTATGAAAAGAGAAATGAGAGGAAGAGGAGAGAGGTGAAAGAAGAGTGTCAAAAAATTAGTGAAGAAAAAAACGACCACCTATGGCAGAGTTTGGAGACTCAGAGGCAGAGAGACTAAAGATGCAGAGAGAGGAACTACAAGGGAGGGCCAAGGAAAGGGAGAAAGTTCTCAGTGACGCACTTCAAAAAGCCAATAAAAATTTAGATGAGCTGAGAAAAAGCCTCCAACAGCTGTAAGAGAGGTGAATTTTTTATGTTTTTGTCTGTGCTTCCTGTCCCTAGTGTGCAATAATCTCTAATGCCAGGCTTCATGTGGGCAATTATCCTGTGAGTCATGCTGTTAACAGAAAAATACACAAAAACGCTCTCAGAGGGACCGTATATATATCCCGCTATTTGTGCGTGAATGTGCATCTCTGACACCAAACTTGTTGCATAGTTACTGTTATCTTTAATCTACCTTGAAAAGAAAAACAAAATAAACAAGATGCTTTGGTGTGTTTTAGATGGACTTTCCTGAAAAAAGACTCTTTCACCACAGTCTTTATGAGGTGTTTATGGGCCGGAAATGCTTTACCCAACAAGCACACACAAACCAGCGTTAGCAGGGCTTGGCTCAGTATTGGAGGAAAAAAAAAGGTTTTATTTCAGAAATATAATTTGCAGAGTGCTGCGGTCAAGTGACTGTCTTTCTCATTCAATGTTCGCTGAAAAGAAATCAGGCCAAGCATTTGCATGTTTCAATTTACGCAGAAATAGTACGTGAGGAATCCAACTTTGTTTCGTAAAAGGAAATAGTGAAGTGTGGGGGGAAGAAAAGTTACTAGTTTATTACATAACCGTACTAAAGGGAACGATTAATGCACTGTGATGAACATGTGGAGTCTAACTCGGTGTTACGGTGTGTTTGACCCTAATTTAATTTTACACCGGATTATCCCTTTAACCAGCATTAATTGTTGGCAAGCTGTTCTTGTCTTGTTTTTAACCATAAAGGAAGATAACCCAGGTGTCTCAGTATCAGTCACTTCCTGTCCAGTCCAGAGCCAAGTGTGTTTCTAATGAATAGTGGCAGACTTGGCCAATCCACGTGGCTAGTAATGGATAATTTGACTCTGCTGCCGAGGGTGAGAGGCTAACAAAAGCCCATGTGCTACAAAAGTTAGTGTTATAGGGGAATCCATTATTCCACCAATGTTTTCCCAGATTCCAATTAGAGGTTAATAATAACCCTCAATAGACATGTCTTCCCTCCTTACAACAGCAAATACGTACTACATGAAATGTACATGCACACCCAAGCATGTTTCATTTTCACCATCAGCCCATCTTTTAGGCTCATTGCATTATTTCATTTTTGTTCACAGGAATGGTAGCTGGTCTGGTATAATTTCACTTATGAGACATTACCATTACTACTTCTATACTGCCACCCCAGAAAACAAGAAGACATTGTAAGTATCCCATGTTGCCTATAACACCTATAACACTGAGGTGGGGGTTCCAGTTTGCCTCTAGCTTTGCTACTGTTTCCTTCTAAAACTGCAACATCATTGTGATGTGGGCCCTAAAGGGGTCTATAGGGCTCTATACGGCCCTTAATAGTCTCTTGTAAGAGGCAGTGTATTATGGGTTTTAATTGGGCGTCTTAGCCTCAAGTGGACACTTGAGAAACTTAGTGTTTTTAGAATTCCTTATTGGCTTCCTTATTTTCATACCAGAGGCTCCTGCTTGATTTGTGCAACTAATTTTAGCTTATTAGATTTTTTCCCATCTGACTCAACTATTATATCACCAATTACATATCAGACAGAGACAACAAATGATTGGTAAAGAGTTAACAGTCTGACGCTGATCGTTTCTTATCTGCTAACTGAATCTTCATGAGGTTACATCAACTTTAAATAGATGTTTTTTCCAGTCTATGATAGATCTAGATGACTGGAAAAGTGATTCAAAGTAAGTTGAAGATACTTAAGCCAAAATAGGACAGTAATTGTTTTTCCGTTGATAGTAGTCTGAAAAGACCAGAATGCATTACAGCCTTACAGCATGTTCTCCTCTCGTGTGCTGTGCCAACATTTGTTCCTTTTCTACTCTCCACTGACACCTTCACACTCTGAATACACTGATACAGTCATGATGTTCGAGGGCTGTGCCAAGCTTATCTGGGAGGGAAAGGAAGTGACCAAATATGGTTAAAAAAAAGACATCCCCTCATCTCAGGATGCTTATGTACTCCAAAACCTCAACAAAATGGGAAAGCCCAAAGATAAAGGTTTCATTTAGGATCAACAAAAAACAACGATTATCTATTCTTTCTTTCTCTTTTTCTTTCTTTCTTTCTTTCAACTAATGCGCCAATTTTTTATTGTTTGTTAACCCCAAGTACGAGGCATATACACACTTCAGTGGTAATGATTCCTATTGCGTGTAGCTCACATCAGCTTAAAAGCAAGGTTAATCAAATTGCAGGTGTCTGTAATCTAGCAGCCAACGCAGCTTCAGCGAAGTATCCGAGAAACACTTACTGACTCATTGTCATGAAAAGCTTCAAACTACTTCAGACATCTTGCAGTTACAACTGAAGATGCCCAGTGTAGCACAAAAACAATAATATGTATGTTTACAAGGGATGTGTAGACCAACAGGTTTTTTCCTTATGAATAAATAATCTTTGCTTATATACTTCAAGAAGCCAGGACAAGAAACATTAGGATTTGGAGACAACATAAATAAAGAGATTTTTGTTGTAAAGTTTAGAATCTGGGCCTCGTCGTCTTGTACGGATTAATCCAAAGTAAGCATTGTACTTTAATATTGCAGTGTGTGTAGAGGCCAGACTCAAATGGCTTGCTACTGTTCAGGTTGTCCGTATGTTGTTATGAGCATGGTAGACTGCTGAGCCAATCCACTATCTGGTCTAATGTAAGCTGATTATCTCTCCCATACAGTGCCTCTTCATTGAGTGAATAGTGCACGCAAACACACACACACAAACAAACACATGCTGTGCACAGTTGCGCGGTGGAGCCTTGGGGCCAAGTGAGGGTCAGAGGGTCAAAGTTGGGGCAGAGATAATGATGCACGGCACAGTGATGTGTGAGAGGCCAGGCCAGACTGACAGCCGTGGATTCTCTCTCTGCTCTTTTGTCTTTTCTGTATTTTTGTTTTTCTGCATTTCTTTGATCATTGGCCCCTAATATTTTTTTATAAATTATAATGTAGATTAAGTTTGCACAATAGTTTTATTCATTTAAATACTGTTTTATTGTAACAAACAAGAACTCACTCTTTTTTTACCTCCTCATTAGTTTTCTTCTGCAATTTTCACCCGTTATTTTGTGATCACTGCATGTTATATGCTGTTCACTCCATTTTCAAGCTGTTGTAACAGACTTTAAACTTTAAATAAAAAAAGTCTTTCAAAGTTGAGAACAAAAATGATTACCCTCACCTTGTAAATGTTCTTTCAGGGACTACATTGTTATTTTGCTTTGTGTAATGTCATGATACATTATTTTTAGAGTAACTTTAAATGCTTAATGTTATGATCTGTTAAGCGTAAAGGTAAGTTTTTTAGTTTTTTGGCTTTTTTTACTGTAGCTAAAAATTATTGCAAAAATAACAATCTCCAGGGCCAGTTCCCAGCTGACAATGAGGAGTCTCTTTTTCCATGATTAAGACACCAATAGTTCTGGTTAAATAATAAGTTCAGATGTTTTGGATCCAACATTTATAAGTCTCTGCAAGCTAACCTTACATTTGTCATAATTTCATACTTTTTGACACACTTTTCTGAAAGCACAGAAGATGATTGCTAACAAGACTAACAATATTGTTTCTGTAATGACACAGACTATAGGGTGTTTTCCATTTTTGTAATGTAATAGAGTCAAACAAAGTCAAATGTACCATGAGGAGCTTTTTGTCTGTACTGTTAGAGCCTGGTATGTAACAATCATAGACTGTATATACTATGGACAACTTGGTTCTGCCTTCCGCCAATATAGGCATTTGAAGCCGAAAAGCTCTCTGTAATTCCGTTTTTTCTCTCCACTTCCTGAAACCACTTGCACAGTACCACTGTACGCATTCGGTGGGAGAGTCGCTATGATGATGTGAGCTATGCAATCCTTATTACATTTCAGGCTTTATTAAATTTTTTTCTAATAACATTTCGGGTCACTGTTACACATCAGGCTTTGACAGGGTCCTCACATGTCGATGCGCCTCAGTCTAACAATTTACCAAATGATATTGTTAGTCTTGCTAACAATGGTCCCATTATAGAGTTGCATCTCTGTTCATTTAAGTCTGTTTCATTATTGATCAAAAACTCCTCAGAGGGACTTTGAGGTTACTCAACTGGGGAGAGGGTAAGGTAACAAAGTCAAACACTGGGTGCTATCACATTCAGATACCAAGTATGTGTGGTATGTTAGTCACAGAGGGGTAAAGAACATCGGTGAGGTGAGAGGGTTATTACCATATCAGTTTAAAGAGAAGAGGCACAGCGGAGAACGAAACTCACTATGGGACAGTTAAAAGATCTTGGTTTGGAAACAGTTAAACAGGTTTGGACAGACAGAACTCATCTACCTGAAGACAGGTTGAAACATATCATCCAACACGTGCTCATGTTTATGGCCATGATAGAAGTGTTGGGGAATTTCATACACTCTGCCGACTTCCTCTTAACTGATTGGTCTTAAGCGTAAACAGAATGATTCACTCGCTCTATTTGCGAATATCTGGACGCCTAAATGTTGGGTGTTTACTCGCTTAATTTATATGAATGACTCAATCTTATTCACGTTTAATTCATATCTGCGAAGTACCCAAAGATGAGTAAATGTGGGTTCCTACATGTCATGTCAGTACTGTTTACATTGAACATTGGAGTGGTTAACCACATTGTGGGGACCTGTTGTGTTCGAACAATTTACTAGACAATGCGACCAGCTCACTTTCCTCCAGTTGAGTTCTTTTTTTATTATTCCTGCCTCGATATTCTGAACACATTGTATCCTACAGCTCAGGTGTAGTGGCATACCATCACAACTGGTTAATCCTCCACTTCCACAGAAATGACTCTCTGCCAGTCTGTTGTTGATATTCATCACCAGAAAATCTTTACGCTGATTGGCCATTGCGGCACAAATAATTCTTTGAGTTTAGATTTTTCAACACTGGCGGAGAAGCTCTCCTACTATGGATCTATTGGTTAGTATTGTGAATCATTTACATCTCCTGGAACAGATGACCTTCTCCCTTAGACTTCAGAAGGAATTAGGAGAAAGGAGATGGGAGAAATGGGTGAGCTATCTACATGGTGTCTCGGACCTCATGAAAACTGTGAGAAAGGAAAAAAGAAAAAAAGATGACTTCTTGTACTTGACAATATTCTGTAGATAGGATGGGGCTGCGCAGTGTGTATATCGACTTGCCTTTTGATACTTGGGCCGATGCACAGCATCGCTGCTCAAGCATAGGTCTGACTTTAATGCAGTGTTAGTAACTCAAAACATTGTAACACCATTATAGAAGGGGAAGGAAGAACAATAAGTACGAAGTATGTATGTATGTATACATATATTAATAATAATGAAGAGACGGGTCTTGCTGCGACTGTACAGCCCCAGCATATATAGGTATTCAATGTATATTTACCCGCTATGCCTGTGATATACACCCCATGACCTCTTTATTGTTTGTTTAGTTCTTTTTTTTGTTTGTTTTTATTTCCATCTACTTTTCTATTCACACCTTTGTTGTTAAAAGAAATTTTGAGAAATAAAGAGTTTAAAAAAAAAAAAAAAAAAAAACACTGGCGGAGAAGCAAATTAAGTGAATGACGCTGGTCGTGGTGAACGCAGCATTAATTCGCATCATTCACGCATATTGTCCTCTCAATTTGTGATATTTATGCCACCTAATTCATGTCATATACGCCACCCAAAAAGATGGGATTTGTGACTTTATATGTAAATTACACTCATGAAAAATTTTATTCCCATTCTGTCTGAATGCACCAATAGTCACCACTAGTCATACGGTGTACCTGGGTGTGTCTGTTTTAAGAGAGATACTCCTTTATTAGTCCCACAAGGGGAAATTCACATGTTTTTCACCCATGCTTGACTCTGTGTCAATGTATTTGGGGTAGTCCAAGCTTCTGTGGACGTGTATGTATGTGTTCGTCTGTTTGCATGCACATTCACACACCTGCAATTGATAGGGTAATAACCTTTAATCACTGCAGCAGAAATTAGATAAGAAAGTTATAAAGAATAAATCATAAAAATGTGTAAGAGGTACACACACACACACACACACAAACACCTGGGGCTGGATTGTACACTGATAAGATAAGTTGCAGGTGCGAGCAAGGGATCAACAAATGATGGATGACAAATCGGAAGGCATTCATTTGTAACTAGGAAGCACTGAATGGTAAATAAGTTATGTTCCCAGCAGGGCATAAATTTCTTGGCATCACAAAAAAAAATAAAAAATGAAGCACTGTACTCTGCGTATGTGTGCTTGTGTTTTTGTGAGTGTGTCAGGTAGTATGTCAAGTCTACTTTGAACAGTACAGAGTCATACATCCTCTAAAACCAGTATGTACTGTATGTTCCCACTTCAAGTACATCAAACTTAGTGTAGCATGCTAAAACACACATATGCACATGCACGCACACACACACATACTGCTGTGCATATTGGAGTTTAGTCTGAGAAGTCCCCCTCCCTGTCAAGGATGTCCTTGATTAAGGTCTGATTGTGGTTTAACTTTACTGTGGGTCTCTTGACAACAAAATCAATACAAACAGCAGTATTAATGTGTGTCTCACGAACAACAAAACACACACAGGCACATGACAGAGTCATCAGCAACATCATGTTGGCTTTGTAGCATAGCAACCCACCCAACCAAGTAAACAAACACACAGATACAGGGCCTGTAGGAGTTTGAATTCATATTTAATAGTCTATATGGCCAATGGAATTTCATATCCCTTATATTGACTCAGTAATTCATACTATGTTATCATTGGTTGTGTCTGTTTTCTGCACTGTTAATGTACATAACTGTACATTTCTGTGTCTGTGCATGAATGCTTGTCTATGATTACATACGCAGCTGTTTATGTAAAAAAGCGTTCAAAATGCATTTAAAGCATTAAGTTTAAACCCAGTCTTAGAAAACCAAAGCCTCTTTAGACTGTGTACCTATAGAAACACGTAAAATATGTTTATCCACAGTGTATGAGTGTGTTACTGTGCATCTCTTTACTGTCAGTGTGTAACATTCTGCTTGTGCTCTTTTTTGGTCAAAGCAAAATGTCTTTCAGCTTTGGATGTCCTGCCATGGCGGTGATCAAAACAGTCTTTTAACTCACACACATGAGCAGGCACAGCGGGTGAACAGATGACGCTTTGATATGGGAAAGCTTTTATGTCACTGCTGATGATGACAGGAAATGCCAGCACAGACACACACACAAACACACTTTTAGTATGTGGACATATTTACACTGACATACACCAGTCACTTATCACTAAATAGTTGAATATCAAATTCACCTTGACTGAATGTCCACAGCCCTGGGATACAGGATGTTTGTGTACAATCTAGAGCAAAAGCACTAATATTTTATCTATGTAGAGAGATGGTCTCTTGTGGATTAATAGGGAACTACATCAAAACATTTCTGCTGTTCATTACATATGATTCTAACTAAAAATTTTGCATTTTTTGCTTTCAGAAAAAACAGCAGCAAAAAGTAGAAAGTAACTTGCTGATTCATGAATTAATTTTGTTTTATTATTCTTCATTCAGTCATATTGTCAAAGATAAGCGCTTCATTGGTTTGGTATGTAGCTTTTTTATGTGGCGCATATTTTATTTAATACCAATGCTTGACAAACGCTTAATTATTTACTGACATAAACATGTAGAGCGATTGATCATGAAAAGAAACTTGGATAAAATGGAGAGTGTTGAGAAATACGTGATATTGAATCCATAATACTCACATATTAAAACAATACAAGCAATCAAATGTCACATGAAATGAAACGCAGTGCAGCTAATAGAGGCATAATAACTATTTTCCAGGTCACCAGCCTTGAGTTTTTTTGCTTACTATGGAAACTAAGATGTGCAGACATAGTGACACAGAACATTTTGTACAAAGTCTGGGGACTAAACTAAGCCTATGAGGGAGGTAAAGTTAGACTTTGTGATTCTGACCTTCAGTTCAAATCTCTTTAAATATAAAAAATGAATAAAACCAGCAAACATATTCACATTCACTAAAATACTATAAAATAATATGGTAGGCTTTGATAACTCTGTGCCGAGCAGATCAGTTGTTGTTGTCGTGTGCATTGCTGTCTGCATGTGTGAGTATGGCGTGTCCTGTGTGTGTATGTGTGTGTGTGTTTAGTGTGTGAGTGTGTATGACATGTTCTGATGAGGCAGTTGATTTGGGCTGCTGGTAGGGGGTACTCTAATCTGGCACGCACTCACTGGCACTGCTCTACCTAGTTATTCCACTGACAGCCACTGCCCTGGGAACAGGAGCTCAAGCTCACGCACACAAAACACACACACACACACACAGATTCGTGAACAGAATACACACACATTCATACAAACACACTCGCATGCACACACCCCTCTTGAGGCAATGTTCTTTCTGATCTCGCTTTGGGACTGGTGGGGACAGATGGGTGAACAGTGGGAGTCTGGGCCGCCATCACTCAGAGAGCAAAGGCATACACGCACAAATACACACATTTCATTCGAATACACACTGACACAAACACATACACACACACACAGGATCGCGAGCTCAGCCAGACTTGGTCAGAAAGTGGCAAACATACAAACAGACAGGCTAAAATGTGCACGGAAAGTCTGGCTTGTCCCATCTCCTGCACAAACGCACAAGAGGTGCACACACACACAGGCTTAGCCGCAGTCACACACACACACCTATTTACTTATTTGTAAACATGCACTTCAATTCACACATGGCTTCTTGTTCACACACAGAGACCGGATTACTAGAAACGGCATGCAATCTTAGTTGGCTCATTCTCACTCCACTGTGCTCCCAGTCTCCCCACTGAACTTGTAACACATCACAGAAAAACAGGTAGCATTGCTTTTCTCTCCTATGATCATTTATCTTTAATAGTAGTTGAGTAAATAATATCTCTTTTTGGTAAGGCCGGATTAGTAGGATTCATCTGTAGCATGAACAATCAAAAGTAATTTTCATGTAAAAGAAAATTTAAGAAAAACTGAATGAAGTTATTAAACACAAAAATCCTTTAGCCAAGAAATCCACTTAATGCATCAAAACATTTGTTTATTTGATTAAAAAAATAAAATAAAAATGTTCAATACCTCTGCTAACTCCATACATAGTTTTTTGTTCACACTTAGGGCTGTAAAGTCCTAGTCGACTTATTGGTTGATACGTGCTGAGTCAACCAAAATTCTAAATGGTCGGCTTGATTTTTTTCCACTTTAATTTACGGTGTATGGTTAATTTCTAGGGATGGGTCCGAATATTCGGCGCCGAAAATATTCGGCCGAAAAGCATCAAAAATGAATTTTCGGTTTCCGGCCGAATAGATGTTATGGCCGAAAAAAATTACCGAATAGTGTGGATAAACATATGTCTAGAATGAACTCTCAAAAACGGAAAACGCAGACGGCGCTGTTTTCCCTGTTTTAGTAGCATGTTGATGACGTCATCGGAACGCGACAAGAGGCAAGCCGGTGTTGTGCCGTAGAAAGCACCCCCGCTGTAGAATGCACCCCCTGCCTCCCATCCACTCGTTAGCTTCTTAAAGTGGAAGAAAATGATCTCATATTTTAAAAAACACGACTATTTGATCGTTACAACTTTCGTTCTGATTTTATCTGTCTCAAAAATGCACATACGGAGGTGTGCTTGGGTATATAAACTGTACAGTAAACTGTCAAGCTGGCATACATTATATTTTTCAACCGCGCTCCCGTCGGGGGTGCATTCTACGGCACAACACCGGCATGCTGAGACGACGCACACGATACGAGCAGCTGTCTTGGCTTGAAGCCGTTCAACCGGCATGTCTGCGGTTTGGAAATATTTCGACATATCAGAGAAAGATGGTCTGATGGCAATTTGTAAACTCTGCTCTGCTGAAGTGTCTCGAGGTGGTGTGACAGCAAAAACTTTCAGTACATCGGGGCTAATCAACCACTTGAGCGCTAAACATAAGGACAAACATGACGAGTTTAAGAAACTCACTGCACAAAAGTTTGCACAATCGTATGTGCATGCATGTAAGTGCATTTATTGTTGAAGGCCTCAGGCCTGGATTTGTGTTTACTGTTGCACAATCATGTATATGCATGCACGTACCTGCATTTATTTTATTTATTTTGCATATGTGCATTTTATTTTATTTACTTTAGGCTATCCTACAGGGAAAATTGCACTTTTTTTGTATTGTTATTGCAAAGATGTTATTTACTTAATTTTATTTTATTGAATGTTATTGTTATAGCATTGTTATGTCATGTGCTGAAGCTGAATAAATGTTTCATGGTTCAAACATAAAGTGATTAATATTTAAGTTTGCCAGGTTTTGCCATAATCAGGTAGCTTTAAAACAAATGTATGGCAATGACAGCAATTGTACAAAAATTGCTTGGTGATAAAAATTCATAATTTATATACATATTTATTAATCATATTCGGGTATTCGGTTATTCGGCCAAGTGTTTCTAATATTTGGTATTCGGTTTCGGCCAAGATTTTCCCATTCGGTCCATCCCTATTAATTTCATTAGGAGGAATGTACCAAGTGCTAATGGGGGTGTTTTCATAGCACCCCTTTTTTCACAGGTAACAACTTGTCTCAGAACACCCCCTATGTTTTCACCATTTTGGATTCACCCAACCCAGTAAGACAGTAAGATTGAAGGGCGTCTGTCCAACATCCAGTGGTTTGCTGAATTTATTTTTATTTTGAGCGTTTCAACTTTGATCTTGTTTAATTGCCTTCTTGCGCTGTTATCAGTATGTTTTCACCCCACAGAGCCACATCATCCCCCGCCGCAGAAGGGTTTGCCATCTGAGTCGGGCCTAACGATCAGTGTTTGGATGTATTACCATTACCTTTTGCAGTAGACCATAGAAAATTAAGGGATAGATGCTGAATAGCGCTCAGATATGCTTCAAGTGTGTTAAGTGTACTTCATTTAGATTTGACAGATGACTACCTTCCATGCATGAATATGCATCATATTAATCAACAAAGCTAGGGTGGGTAATGGGTATAACAACAGACACTTTTCACCTCCAAGCTTCTCCTCAACTCTATAGCAGTTACAATATGAATCTACTTACTCCTTTTCTATACTATCTATACAACTCTCCACCTTTTATTTCTTATTTTTATGCATTGCAACATTGACTCATATTATCATGATTATTTAATATAGATATATTAAATTATCTAAAACAAGAGATGAGCTGATGATAGGCTCTTCATATCAATTACCTCTGTGAAACAATTTAAATTTTCATCCTATCTCATTTTATCAGATCACCTTCTGCTCTCTATCATTAAAATTGCATCATCCATGAACTCTTTTAACCCCAAGAGAGTACTGTGGCATTACGTTTGGATTATGTTCTCTAATGTGTGAATATTGCTCATGACTCCTTACTCTCTTTCTGCCCCTCCCCCATCCCCTCCCTAAACCCAATGCAGTCACAGCAGATGACTGATTTAAATGGGATGGGTCTTCCGGTCTTTACATTGAGTCTTTGTAAAAAGAGTATCGTCTAGACCAGTTTTTTTGTGGTTGTTGTGAAACGTCTTGGTTTAACACTTGTTGTGAATTTGTGTTATGTAATTGAGCAATTAGTCTTTATTTATATAGTGCCGGTTTACAACAGTTGTCATCCCAAGACACATAATAAAAAAGACTATACTGTGTTTTCAAAGACCTAATGTAAAGATGGGATGAGATTAGTAAGATAAGACCCACTCCCATCCCATCTTCAACCACATGAGTGTAGCACTAAGCAGGTTAGTAAGCAAGCAAGTTACAGTGCCAATTAAATAAATAGATAAAAAACCTGTGTATGCATGTCAGCACTTGATTCTGGTATTCCGATCATACCTTGCCAGTTTTGCGCAAGATGGTTTTGACAACTCGGGATTCTGGCCCCTTTCCATTGTGTCTGCCGCCAACAAAACAAACAAACAAAAAAAAAAAACAGGTCATGGAGCACCAGACTGTCCCCGTACATTCAGTTCCCCAATTAAAAATATCTGCAGTCTTCAAAAAGATGGTACGTAGTTATGCGGACGCCTCACATTCTCTTGTGGATGCTAGCTTAAGCATCTCTCTCAACCCCGAAAACGGCGCTGGCTTATCTCCCGCACATATATCTACATCATATGTCTTCCCTGCCCCCCTACCAAAGTGAAAAAGCTAGGGGAAACACAGAAGCTATATCAAAAAGATATATCCTACGCCTACTCTTAAAGGTAGAGAGGGTGTCTGCCACTCGAACCTCGACTGGTATATGATTGATACCACCCAGACCACTTTTAGAGAATTTAGGTACAAAGAGCATGCCTGCATATTGAGACCGCAATGTTCTGGAAGGGGAATAGGGAACAAGGAGCTCTTTGAGATATGATGGTGCCTGACTTTGTGGGTCAGTGTAGAGAAACTAATGCAGGGACATTCTGGGACAAGATGTGTCTGCTTCTTGTTTTATTACACGGGTGAAAAAGTCAATTCCAGAGATTTATTGGATTTTGGAGTTAAAGGATATATCCTGGTCCAAGAGCACTCCCACATTCTAGACAGTGATCATGGTACTAGACTGATGCCATCTACTGCAGTTATATCATTCGACAAAGTCTTTTTAAGGTGTTTGGGGCCAAGATCAATACTTCAGTTTTGTCAGAACTTAGTTTCAAAAAGTTTGTGGTCATTTTCTGGTGTTCATTCATGGGCATCTGTCTAAGAGTCTGCCTCCTTCGTACTTCGTAATCCAGCCACTGCCTCCTGGATGCTAGGGGTCTAAACATCTGACACACTAAACAGCAAAGAGCAAGTAAAAGAGAGACAGAGAAGCAATCGCTCAGATATGGAGCTAAGAAGCTAATTGCTAACAGAGCTAAAGAGAGAAAAATCACTTTTAGTGAGATCACCGAGGAAACAGAGTGTGTTTGGTGAAAAGAAGAGTCTTCTTGCTGATATCGGGTTGATATTGGTATCTGCTGATATTCTAGGTTGCAATATCGGTATCATATCGGAAGTAAAAAACGTAAAAGATATTCCAGCGTAAAATTAATTTAGGGTCAAACACAGCATAACACTGCTTACTTTTCTAGTTATACCAACTTTAGTAATGACCGCCTTATTTCTTGAGCAAAGATACTAAACACAACTCACCAACTCTCTTCCAGCAGCCGCTTGGTAGTAGCGAAACCTCGGGCCAGTTTATTACGGACTGCTATGGGGTGACACAGCTCAAGGAAGAACATTTATGATAATTTCGTCATGGAAATGCAATCAGGCTGAGATGCTAAGGCAGAAAACTACCGGGCCAGTCCGCTACAGACTGCTACAGGGTGACACAGCTCAAGGAAGAACATTTATGATCATTGTGAATTTCCTCGCTGTAATCCGTAATGGACTGGCCTGAGGTCTTGCTACAAACAAGCGTCTGTTGGAAGAGAGTAGGTGAGTTGTGTTTCGTCAAGAAATTAGGCAAAATTAAAAAAATGTGTGGTGGCTAGTGCTGTGGCTGAGACCCTATATGTTCTGTTGATGAAGTTAGGTGCTGTTCTGAGTATTATTTGTGGCTATACAGTGGCGTTTTGATAGAGGTTTGTATACAGACCGCTGTGTATTGCCATCGGTAACGGTCGTTACTAAAGTTTGCAACATTCATCTCTTGAGGTTTTTTCTTGGTTTTACGGTGTGTTTGACCCTAAATTAATTTTACGCCAAAATATCCCTTTAAAGAAGCTACTTCGAGTACTGCGGCGAGAAAATTTAAGAGGAAGAAAGAATGAATTCAAAGATAAGGATGGCTCTCAGCAAAAAGCAGCAGAGGCTTTTCCTCGACATGGTGGTGTTAGCTGCTATGAAGGAGGAGGTAGAAAAGAGCAAGAGCATGATAAAATTCTCAGGTAAGGAAATAAAAGACAGAGGAGAAAAATAGGAAGATAAAGTCACACAAGAATGTCATGGCAGAACAATGTGATAAAGGTTTGGCAATGCCAAAGCTGCATGAAGACCGATATACAAAAACAAAAACTGGAAAAAAACAGTGTGTGGGTTTGCATTGCCCTGATTGGCTGCAAGCTCCTACACCAGATGCAAGGCAGGAAAGCCAGGGCAGATGGGAAACAACTGTGTGAGATGATAGAGGGAAAATGATTTAAAGAGAATGGAAAAACAGAAGAGTGAAAGTTAATTCAGCTGACCCATCTGTTATTTCCTGGAAACAGTGAGAGGAAGACATGAGCAGGACAGCAGAGGAGAGTGGTGGAGGTAAAAAGAGTGGGACGTAGGAGATGAGACTAAAGGGAACACAAATGCTCTTCATTCAGGTTGCAGATATGGAGAGCTGCTAAATGAGTAAACCAATGAGTGAGCAACGCATGCAGTCTCTCTTTTTCACTACCTTAGCCTTATCACCGGTGACAGATCTGGCTCATATCTGCCTCCATTTGGTGCTGTCAGCCTCATGATTTATGTCATCTGACATCATAAAACTGGCTCTCGTGACATGCAGTGCCCATGCTCTCCTCCACTCTGCGAGCACGCACCAACACGCACGCACACACAAACACACTCTGAAGCACCACGGAGCAGCTCAGATTCCCCTTCATCCCATCTCGTCTGAGACCCCGTTCATTTTTGATCACCTTAAGCCACAAACTCTGAATAAAAAACACTACAACCACTTAAACCCTGCTGAGCTCTCAAAACCTGCTACGTCACTTTGCACGCAACCCCCAACCGTGTTCATGATGCTGTCTGTGAGTATACAGGCCTGTTTGTGTTTGTGCAGGTGTGTGAAACCAAGTGTTTTTTACTTCCACGTCTGCAACAACTCCATTTGTGTCTGTTAGCAGCAACACGCATGTGTTCATGGGAATAAAGGAAAGTGTTCAGGGTGTTCTTACCCACATGTTCCTTCAAAATTGTTCCTGGAATAACAGAATGTTCTATTCTGGCACTCAAGTTTTCCACGTTTACGCTTTGCATGGGTTTGTGACCTGACTAAGCGTGTGGGTATGTGTACAGGTTTATGTGTGTGACTTTATGAGCTGAGCAAGTGATCTCTCATGTTACTCAGAGAGCTTTTCAACCAAACACATTTCTTTACAAGTTAGAATAATGGAGTGAAGAGAAAGAAAGGAAGAGTGCTGGAAAACATGACACTGTGATAACATCAGTCCCATTGTCCCTTTCTCTTATTGTTTTTGTGTGTCATGTACACCTTTTGCTCTTTATTGATGACTTTTTCTCTCCGATAACAAAATCAGAGTGCATAAATGATTGATCTACCAATTACACACTTCGTATGCTTGCTTGAAATGAAAGTTGTGTATAACCATGTGATTGAGTTAGCCTTAATGTAAGGTGTTTAGTAATGCTGTGTTCGAGTTGTACTCGGAAGTCGGAATTTCCAAGCGCTAAGTCAGAAATTCATCTGGAACACACCCCTGAAGTCGGATTTCCGACTCGAAAAATCAGACGATCTTCACCAACCCCGACTTGACGATGACATCATAATTCAAGATAATAGCGCAGTGCATCAACAGTAAAGAGTAACAGTGAAAGCTCTCGTAATGTATTATTTATTAGCGCTTATGTTTTGTTTTTGTGTAATTAAATTGTGGTATATGTTGTACTGCCCAACGTCTAACTGCGAACACGGTGTTTGTAAGAGCAAAATATTGTGTTATGTGTTGTTTACAACTGGTATAGCTAACAACAACAGACAACCGCTAACAACAGCTGACAGTTGTAAACAACAGCTAACGACAGCTAACACTAGGCGTCCATCTTGGTTTTCCGACTTATTAACCGGAACGCCGTCAATTCAGGTGTAACATCATTCCCAGCTCTGACATCTGACTTCCGAGGTAACTGGAACGCAGAATAAATTCAGTTTGACCCATCTTCTTTTTCAAATCACAGGTGGTAAAGTGAGGATACACTGGAAAATTGTGTTGACTCTAACCCACTTAGTATACGGTCAAATAAATTAGCTGTAATCCTTTTTAAGAGTGATTTCATAGTCTGGTTAAATTCAATCAAATTGTATCCTGTAACTTTTGTTTTCTGTTTCAAATAATTATTATTGAGACATTTCATTATCAATCCATGTTTATATCACATGTAACTGAGTTCTGACAGTGACATAGTATTAAAATACAACTGGGCAAATGTCTGTGCAGTGAAAGAGCAGCTGCATTTTTCACAAACCTTAGTGTAGCCAGGGAATGCTGTGACGGAACATACAGTGCTTTAACAGAGGAGGAGTGCCTCGGTCGCTCACATTTACACACATTCACCCTGGGGATTGGTAACCACAGTCCTCTGCTCTTACACACAAGTAAACACCTCTGGAATAAACCAAGTTTGAGGATTCTAGTTAAAGAGGGGGGTTGAGTGATGTTAAGAATTGTGTTGCAGGTTTCAGACTCCAGCAGCAGCTTTTAACTGCTAATGTCTTATGCACCAGTTTTCCTGAGATAATCAGACACTTAAGCCTTTTGAGACATTTAACAGAAACTATAATTTGTAATAAAATCATACAGGAAAACTTGAAGCTATTATTTGTGTTTCTGTGATTTAGGCAGTGTGTGCAACAGCAGCAGACCCTATCAGTTTTCTTTATGCATCAATTTCCCCGGCGGTGAGCTCACAGGTGTACAGGGTTTCCTCGGTTGGTTGATGGGACCTGGCCGGTCTCCAGATTTCAGATGCTGCAGCACAGCGCATCGGCATTCTCCGATAACAACCGTGCACAAACCTACATTTTATCTTATCTTATCTTAATGTACTAATTAATACAGTTTTAGATCCACGTCTAAAGGATAAAAAGCGAGAACTGCAGACATGAAAAGAGCATTGTTGGGAAAAAGAAGGCAAAAAGGAAACAATCTTCCCACAGGAATAAATATTGGTTTAATTTTGGCTTGGACTGTTTGATTTCTGGGGCCAGCTCACACAAACACAAACCAGTGTGTGATGGATTTGAGTATTAACCCTTAAATTACCATCTGTTGAATCTTTTAACATTTGTTGGGATAGCTACTTTGTGCTTATTCATACAAATAAGAAGGTCACAGAAACCTGTGTCATTATCTGTGTAGTTTTAAAATTGTATTCGGTCTCTTTGAAAAACTGCATGCAAGATGAGCTAATCTGAATACGTGTGTGTTTATAGTTGACAGTAAATTCTGAGGAGCTAACCTCCAGCTCACCTCTTGGGTGGGTCTTGGCAGTGCGCTCCAAACAGCTGCTAAGGCTGCATGCGTACATATGCAGTTGTGTGTGTTTTGTGTTTACGGGAGGGAACGAAGGAGGGACACCTTGAGAGAACAGGATGGAGAAGGATGTAGTCTGTTGTTTGTATTGATTCTGTGTTAGTGCGTGCTTGTTCACTGACACTAGCGTGAAAACAAGCTGTTTCACAAAACCAACAGATTAACTCAAATGTACACAAAAGAATGCACAATACGTGTAAACACTCCGAAAAAGTACATAGGGTAACAGAAACTTTGATCTAGTACACAAACAACCACTTTTACTTCCAGGAACTCAACCTAGGGATAATTTCACATTCTATCTTGTTTATTTGGAGTGTTTTATCCTACATTAACTCTTGCCATGCCTTCTGTTTTGTAACATGTTGCACAGGCACGATATGGGGTAGGCTTGATGTTGACGGATCAGTCACCATCTTTGGTTAGATAAGTAAACCGATACTCATGACTATCCTTTTGTAATACGCCACTACCCCTTCATGATAATCTGACTTAACCACAGCCAACCAGATCCAATTGTTATATAAGATTTAACACCCATTACACAATAGTTTCCTCATGTTTTGTAGTGATAAACAATTTCTTGTAAGAGTGTTCACACTACTAAGTTATTGACTGTTTTCCTCTTTCACATTTACAGGTCAGGATTGTTAAAAACAGTAATTAAGTGATGATGGACCCCAGGTATATAGAATAAGATATACATGACAACCCACTGAGCAGTAGATGGGTACTAGACGTCTAGGTTTTTAAGACCAAATTTCAAGTATATTTTTGGACGTTGCACTTTAACCCATTATTCAATAACTATTTATTTCAAAAAGCAACTGTGAGTTGCATAACTGATCTCCAAGTACTTAACCAAAATAATTATGATAGTCGTTGAGCAATATACAGTGTAGTATAGATATAGCCCAGATTTAGACTTGGTCTAAATTTAGACGTAGCTCAGGAGGTAGAGTGGTCGTCTAATAACTGGAAGGTTGGCGATTCGATTCCCCCCTATCCTGAGTCTGTCCGTTGTGTCCTTGGGCAAGACACTTAACCCACCTTGCTCCCAGTGTGTGTCCTCCACTGGTGTATGAATGTGAGTGTTGTGTGGTGGTGGTTGGAGAGGCCGTAGGCGCAAAATGGCAGCCACTTTTTTGTCAGTCTGCCCCAGGGCAGCTGTGACTACTAAGGTAGTTTACCACCACCAAAGTGTGACTGTGTGAGTGTATCCAATGTAAAGCGCTCTGAGGGTCTCCGATAAAGCACTATATGAAATCTGATGCATTATTATTATTATTATTATTATTATTATTATTATTATTATTATCAAAAAACTTTCATTTTTAGATCTGTGGTAGCCTGAGTTTAACCACTTGTCTAGGCTATTAGAGGTCTATTAGATCAAAAAATGCTCAGTGGGAAATGACATGCATGATTAGTGTTTTAATGAACAGAGTCTGCTTTATATGCAAAAAAGATCCACAGTTGGCCTCCACATGTGTAAACCTTGCCCTTCTCAGGCTAAGCTGCAAACATGTAAACAGCACACACCTCTCCCCATTTACCTGCATTTGACTTCAAGCTGATATGGGCGTTAGCTGGTTATTAAACTGTGCTGCCTGTCTATCAGCATTATGGAGCTAATGCAAACAGCAGAAGAAAGGAGAAGGAGTAGGGGGAGTGGGAAAAGACAAACATTGACAGGTTGCCCAACATGGATAGATGAGAAAGGGTTATGATTTGGTAGAGAAAAAGAGGAAGGAAGCTTGAAAAAACCCCAAGAGGTGTGGGATTTTTTTTACATAGCTCAAGATAAAAAAGAAGAGCATCAAGGGGAGAGGAAGACAGGGAAAAGTAATTAATCTGTTCATTTTGAGCAGATGTCAGCAGGTGTGTCTTACAACTTGATTTGAAGAGTACAGACAGAAAGAGTGTGGGAGTTAGGCTTGACAGCAAAAATTCAGGTGAAAGGCCATGACTAAGTGTGACTAAGAGTGTATGAATCTGTGTGTGTCCACATATGTGTGTGTGTGTGTGTGCGTGTGTTTATGACCGATCCCTGAACCGCAGCCATCTGCCAACACCCTGGGCCATCCTTTGACTCTGCGGTATCTATTTCCCTGGAAGCTAACTTTGCATGTGTGCGTGTTGATAGTGTCAACAGCAATAAAGAAACATCAAATATATTTTCACACAATGTAGTTAAGACTTATCGTTGACATCATTTGTGTCTGCAAACATGTCTATTATACTGGCTGTCTGTTAGCCCTGTGGTAGTTGTTACACTGAAGGAATGCTATGATGTAAACACCCAGTTGTTACGGGTTACAATAGAAATTCTTCAATTTATTTAATTTAGTCAGATTCCCACTAACTGTGACTGAGGTAACGGTCATTGACTTCTGAAGTCCACCCAAAAATACAGGAACACAGGCGTATTACAGTACATAATTACATCACAGGATAATAGATAGATAGATAGATAGATAGATAGATAGATAGATAGATAGATAGATAGATAGATAGATAGATAGATGGAAGCATTGAAAAGATATTGGCCAACACAGACAGCTTTACAACAAGATTTTTTTTTTCAGTCATATTTTTTAAATAGATTTATGCTATGTTCAGATTTCTTTCCCTTAAATATTGGAAAGAAAAGAAAAGGGATGTTAAAGTTTCTTTTTAAGTTATACTATTAATTTCCATAGCTTTCATGCTTCTGTGGTGTGGAAAAAATGCTTTTATTGCACATAATAAATTCAGCAAACACCCAAAAATGTTTGAACCCAACCATCAAAGAATGTCACGTTATTATAGACAGCAAGGCAAAGCTGTAAGTGTATTAATTGATTATAAAATAGCAAAATTATTCATGTTTATTTATGGTATTTTTCACGATAACACAGACAAATTGTGAGGAGAATAGTCCATTACTTTTGTGTGCCCACCACCGGTCAATGACCATCGGATGGTCACTACATTTTGCAATGCTCTATGGGAAATTTTGAGTCGCCTATATGGGGCATTGGAATTGATCTCTCAGGTTTCGGACACCCCTCAAAATGGTGCGAACCCCCATATAGTCGCCGATATGGGGGTTAGGGATCCATTTCGGACACAGCCGAAGAAGAAGAAGAAGAAGAAGAAGAAGAAGAAGAAGAAGAAGAAGAACTTTATTGATCTCCGAAGGCAAATTCAACAAAAGCCTGCCAATTTATCAAACATTGTGTTTGTCTTTATAGTGTGTTCATAATATGTCATTTGTATATTGCTCTTGTAAATACATGTTATACAAATACAAGAGGCGGCTGTGGCTAAATGATAGTGTTGGTTGTTTCCCACTGTCACATGTTGAAATGTCCTTAACTGATACACTGAACCCAAGATTACCCCGAGTGGCATCCCCACCACCAAGTGAACATGTATGAATGGAATTTGTAAATACTGATGAGTCAGTGCATGAATGTGTTGTGAAAGGGTGAATATGATGTGTGATGTAGAAGTCAGTGTTCAGAAAACAAGAAAGGCACAATTTAAGTACAGCCCAGTTACCATTTAACTCTGACAAAGCAGTGTATGTTCATTTTGTTGACTTACTACTATATTGTGACCATGGTAACTTGACTATTTTCACCACTCATGCCATTTTTAGTACATTTGTTGAATTGCTCAGGATTGTCATTGCCGTCTTTGTCCACCTGATTGTGGCAAAAGCACCATTTACCTATGAAAGAAGTCATTTTTTAATGCATTGCAATTAGTCTTTAAATGTATGACGTCCAGTCTATGTTTAAATGGGCTTTAACCAGAAAGTCTTGTTGTGACAACTGGTCAGCATGCCAAACAAAAGCTCTACAGCAGTACTTTAAAGTAAAGAACTTGTTCTTTTACTAGAGGACTGCAAACAACCAGTTAAATCGCAGTGTAAACACAGTTAAAGGTTAGGGTTTCTAGGTGGCTAGCAGCCTGCAAGTTTACTTCAGCCATTATGCCACATAGTGTGTGTCTGTATGTAAGCACTAAGACTCATAATGAAAGCACTGTGAAGAAAGTCAGACAGGCTGGTGGCTTTTGTTGCAGAGTCCTTCTGTTCTTTCGAGTATTTACACAATTATTCCTGTTTGGACATGTCTGTTAGTGAGTGTATCTTAGTTCTCGTGTGTGGATTCTTGTGGCGTGTGTGTGTGTGTGTGTACGCGTGTGAGTGTAAGTGTACAAGGGTGTGTGTTTGTGTGTGTGTTGCTTTACCCTGGCAGACCTTGTCATGTCACAGTGACCAGAAAGCAATTATCAGTGTATTGCTGCTTTGGGGTGGACCTCCTCCTCTCCACTTTTCCTGCTGAGAGAGAAAAGAGAGAGAGAGAGAGAGGGTGAGAGAGGGCAAAGTAGGAAAGAGAGAAATAGGACAACGGAGCCATAGCAAGAGAGCAAGTGGAAAAAAAAAACAGATGAAAGAGAGTGAGACAGTGATGGGATGAATGAGAGTGAGGAAAACAAAGACTTGGTACAAGAGAATGTCAGGCTGACATTGCTGGATCAGTTTGAGAGCTCTCCAGATCCACAGACACAGTGCCCTGCCACATCACTCTGAAGGACCCTCACAGACAACCCTCTCAATATACAGGAGACACGTACGACACATTCACTCATACACACTCACAAAGTAACACACAGTACTTCTTTCACAATCACCTAAACCCACACTGCCAGACTATTGGCCTCACTGACACCCACACGGAGCCTTGCTGGTGGTTTTGACTGTTTTTTCTCTTTTGTAAAACAGAGAAGCTGGCCTTTGTGCACGATACTTTTATGTTGCAATCATCACAGCATTATGTAAAACATAGACCAGGCATTAACTGTCTAATAAATATCCATATCAAAAAAGGAAGAGATGAAATACAACTCCTAATGAACCCTATAGGTGAAAGCTCTGGTGAGCCTCTGACTATACAAGCCAAATTGATAAATATTGTTTCAGTAATAGGATAGTGATGCAAAGGATTTTTTTTTACTGTGCCACGAATGTTAAGAAAAAACAGATCATTGTGAAGCCATAAGTGACACTGATTTACAAAACAGGGATGAATTATACCATTCAGCATCCCTACAGAGTAAGTTTCTGTGATTGTAAAAACTAGCCGACTGAGAATCTGTTGGTCTAAAAGAGGTCTAATAGACGTCTAAATGTATCCTAAATGACTGGTCTAAAATCAGGCTACCACAGGTCTAAAGATTTGTTAAAATCATTTTTTTTAATCAGCAATTGGTTAATTTAAACAAAATTATAACATTTCATTTTCATTTCTTTCATATACGAACATTGACTGCATAGATTAAAACATATTTCTATGACTGTGGTCTTGATCTGAATGTCTGGAGTGTCTCTTTCTGCAGACTTCACTGAAGGAGGTCTGTGTGTGCTTCAGATGTGAATGCAGCTTTGCCATTATAATGACATAGGCTGCTGTAAGCTTAGACCTACTTGATAGCTTTAACTTTTCATCCAGTCTCTGTCAGTGATGAGTCCTGTTACGCCCATCCTGTTCTGGTTTTGAGAATTTAGCACATATTTATCCCTGTGATTTAAGCCCAGCTGGTCTTTTCTCCCTCTTTGATCCTGATCAAACAGGAGGAGGATGGCACAGGCTGAGGTAGTTAAGGTATTTTATCAATAAATCAATAAAATCAGTGAAGCTCTCCATTTTTATCTAGTGTAGATCAATGCAAAAATATCAATGGGGTGATAATCTAATTGAAAAATAAAGTAGTTACATTTGCATTTGCCATAAACAGATTAAAAATCACTGTTGCTGCTTTTGCAGACCCAACCAGATGTGATCACAAGACAAAATAAACCACTACCAACAAATATCATGGCCTACCTCCTGCAGTTAAAGATTATTTCACTTTATTCCTGATGAAACATCATGTTAAGTTTCCGGATCAGGGCTTAAACAGGAATTTTCTAAATCCCAGTCTATCAGTATTATGGTTCCAACAGTGTGATGAATACATCATCTTGTGTGCCACCAGCATTTTTCAGCTGGAATCTGAGGCCACACAACATACTGTAAATTTGAGGATTTATTCATGGGATTGTAGGCCTTAATAAACATTTTGATAAACTAATATCCTCTCCTTGTTAAAGAAAAAATGCACACTGTTATAACATGGTTTAAAACATAAAATCTGAGTCTGATTTTTGATATTTTTGCTTCCTTTGTAGTATTGTGAAGTTACAATGCAGGAAAAAAAACAACAACTGTCTACTGTACCTGCCTATCTTCTCTTTCCTCTGTCTCCCCCTCTCTGTAAATCTTAGTGTGAAACACCCTCTGGCGACAAGCCTGACTTTGAGTCAGCAATATAAGCAGAGGGGCTTTTGTAAGCCTTTACACCACCTTCAACATGTCAAGTTAACTCAGATGTGCGTGTGTGCGCGTGCATGTGTGTTGTGATTAAACAGTTCCAAAGAAGAACTGAAGCATCTAAGTGTAGAGTTGCAGAAAAGGAGAAAAGAAAAAGGACGCTTAATTCAGCAGCTGAAGTAGGTGTGTCTACAGTGTGTGGTTAAACACACACATACGCACAGAGACACACACACACGTGCGAAAACACGCACAAGCACATGTGGGGACGCAGGTGGATCTTGGTATGTGGAAAATGCCGGGTGAAGAGCCGGTCATGGCAGGGCTTGGCTCTTTGTATAATTTTTCTTTAACCGACCAAACCCCTCTGATTAGCCACACTGGCACCTCCGGTACCAGGAAATGCACAGGTTCTACATGCCAGGCCTGTAAAGCTGCAACAACGCAGGATTTGACTAATTTACACTCAAACAAAGGTCTAACAGGAATCTAAATCTCAAGAAAAAAATATTCCGCTGTGGCTTTTAAAATATGCTGCTTATAATGATTCTCCATCACTTCGAACATGTTGAATTTTTAATCTTTTATTTTGTTTCTTTCCTTCCTCTTCCTCAGCCCCCTGACCAGCAGACACAAACGTACACAAACAAACATTTACAGACAAGATGTCACGGAAAATAATGTTGAGTTGCGCACATTTATAGACTCTGTGATGGAATGGCTCTCATTTGTTTTTCTTTTTTTTCACATTTAAACCTCTAGATTACTATTTGTATTTTTTAATGTTTCAGGATTTATTGCAGAGATTATGCTGAAATTTGGTATTCACCTGTTTAATTTAAACGTACATCTTCCTCACAGTCATGCGTATCTACGAATCATTTAATGCAAATCAAATTACATGCGTAAGTAAAGGATGAATATATCTTAGCATTAGGATTCCTTCAGAGTGAGACTAGTACTCTCTGCTTCACTTAAGGGTTTTCAGGATTTTCATACCTACCTGTGCACCAACATCATAAACATATTTGCACTAATGATTCAAAGACAGTCTCACTGATTTAAAAAACAATAAGATAAACAAAATGGTTATTGTTTTAAAAACCTCCTTCTAGCATGAACAAACATCAAAAGAAATATTTCAATTGATAAAATCAAACTAAAACATTAGCATTTAAACACTGTAATCATTTGACTTTACATTTCCACTGGAGGTCACACTGGACAAATGGACTGGTTATACATCTGTAGAGAGATCTGTAGCCTGCTCATTCATTAATATTCACATTGAATTGAACATTTGCATCAGCAGTTGTGTTAACAAGTCTTCTGCAAGAATACAAGTTTTGACTTTTGTTCTCATCCAACCTTTCTTCTTCACTTAGCTTTACAGTTGACATAAAATAAATGAGGCAAATGTCACATGTGCAGCACTGTTGCTGTTATTATTACCACTTGTGTTTTTTCTCTGTAGTGATCAGTAACTCAGAGATGCACTCATCATCTCTGCTGCCCTTATCTAATTACAGACCATGATTTTAAAACATTTACACTGTTAACCTCCCATTGTAGCACAGAAATAGTAACTTTTTTTGCCACTGTGGTTAATAGTGATGCCAACAGAAACTAATGTCTTGGTCTCAGTATCAACAAGCAGAAGTAAGAAGTGCCATAACTGTTATCCTCAGATTTATTTATTAAGATTAATTTATTAAGGGGTCTGCTTGTCTTAAGTGATGCTCTTGTTAAGCAAGAGAGTTAAAAACTGTTGTTAAGAGGTTTCAACCAATCAGAATGAAGTGTTTAACACAACCAGATGTGTAACCTCACTACATTATTGATCTGCAGTTTTCTTTTAGAAACATGTGATCCTTGCCTGATTTTGGTCGAACCTTATCCATGATGTTTCTTAAGATATTTTTACTGAGTACTCAATTCAAAGTATGTTTCTATTTTTGTCAACAATGCTCATGCTTTTTAATCCCATTATCTTTCATTTCATTTGACTGGTCTCTTGAAAAGTGCTTTGAAAGGGGCTTGGAAATACACAACTACACAAACGAGAGAACAACAAAACCACAAACACATTCATGTAAAATTAATGTAAAATAAAACTTTTACCAGACGAACAGAAAATGAAAAGTACAACCTGATAGACTGGATATAAAGAAGTCATTTTTTCACTCTTGTTCCCTGTTCCTACTTCTTCTTCTTCTTTTACTTCCTCATCAGTCTCTTTGTACTTTTTCTTGAATGTTTTAAGTCACAAATCTTGTTTTTGGTTTTCAGAACCAAATAACTCAAATCTCATTTCTGCTGTTTCATTTTCTTTTTATAGGTAAGTGCTGCTGCATTTAGTTCTCGTGGAGACTTTTTTGTGCTTTTAGGTGAAACTGAATTTCATGACTCTCTGCTGCGTGGTTATGCGTGAGTTTAGAGTAACGAATCTGTCCCTCATACTACTGACCAGACACACATTAGTAGTGCTTTCAAAGAGACTAAAGATCCACATACATAAAAGAGATGATTCCTGTTTTATTTACAGTAAGAGTGTAAGTGTTGGTTTTATTTTTAGTATCAACTGTGTTTGTTTGCCATCTATTATTTGTTTCAGAGAGCATCAGAGAAACTTTGTGACATTTCTCATCTCCTCTCAAATGAGAATGCAGAGATTTCTTGCATTTAGGCAACAGAGCGAACCCATGCCTCGTTGTTTCTTTTAAACATTTCCTTAAAGGGATATTAAAGGGATATTCCGGGGTAAAATTAAGTAACACCGAGTCAGACACCCCGTCCAGAGATGAATGTTGCCGACCGCTTGCTTCTCTAGTCATTCCAACTTTAGTAACGACTGCAAAAAGCAATACAGAGAGCCACGCGCTTAACCAAAACGCCACTCTATAGCCACAAATAATACTCAGAACAGCACCTAACTTCATCAACAGTACATATAGGGTCCCTGCCACCAAACATTTTTTTAGCTTGCCGTATTTCTTTAGCAAAGAGACTAAAGACAACTCACCCACTGTCCTCCAGCAGCAGCTTATTTGTAGCGAGACCTCCAGGCGAGTCCATCGACTGCAGCGGGGTGACGCAGCTCAAGGAAGAACATTTATGATCATTACTTTATCATTTCCTTGAAGTAATAATCACCATATTAATCATTTTGCACTGCAGACGCGACAGTTCTTCTGCCTTAGCGTCTCGGTTTGATTGTATTTCCATGAGGAAGTGATCATAAATGTTCTTCCTTGAGCTGCGTCACCCCACAGCAGTCCATAATGGACTGGCCTGAAGGTCTCCGTACAAACAAGCAGCTGCTGGAAGAGAGTAGGTGAGTTGTGTTTAGACTCTTTGCTAAAGAAATTAGGTAAAGCTAAGAAGATGTTTAATGGCTAGTGCTATGGCTGGGACCCTATATGTACTGTTGAACATGTTAGGTACTGTTCTGAGCATTATTTGTGGCGTTTTGGTTGAGCGTGTGGCTCTGTGTATTGCTATTGTGCGGTCGTTACTAAAGTTGGTATAACTAGAGAAGCAAGCGGTCGGCAACATTCATCTCTCGACGAGGTGTCTAACTTACTGTTATGGTGTATTTGACCCTAAATAAATTTTACGCTGGAAATCCCTTTAATATCACCATTGCCTTTTCTCTGTTGTAACTCATTTAACAGACACATCAAATCATATTCTCCTTTTTTTCCATTTCATGCGTGTTTCCTTATAACATTTTTGTCTCATTGAAAACGAAGTCACTGAAAACAGTTGGCTTTGTAATTATATATTTCAAGCTTAGCAGAGTGGAAAACATTAGATACAAATAAAATATTGACCACTAATTTGATTAGAAACTCTGTACACATTTGTTTGCTCTTCAATCATCTCTCTGAGCCTCATAAATCAGTGCTCTGCTCTATGCTTTCAGAAAAAAAACCCTACATTGTCCCACCTTGTCCCCTACACTGCGACACAGATTGCATGGGCCTGAAGTCAACTTGATGTGTGTGTACATGTATGTTTTTGTGTGTGTATGTGAAAGGAATGTGCACACCCATCCAATACAGGGATCAAGGCTGAGACAGGGAGGATGGAGGGGATGTTTGCAGTCGCACGCGACCCTCCCAGACATATGGACATATGCTATAGGAAGAATAAGCCTTAAGGCCATGTTGCATGAGGTGTATGTCAAGGAGGAGGAGGAGGAGGCGGGTTTGTGTTCAAGTCTGAGACTTCATTGCATGATAAGGAATGTGTTCTTATGTGTGTTGCTGGAGATTATGGAGAGGGAAAGCAGCTCAGATCTGCCGTCTATGTCTGCACAGCAGTATTGTGACCAACATTTAACCAAAAGTCAGGTCAAAAATTTCGATGAGTTATGCACTCTTCCTGGATGACGTTTTTTTTTTTTTTAAGCAGATTTTAACCCTGTTTTTTTATATAAAAAGTGTAAACGATATAGATAGATAGATGTAAGTTTCAGATTAGCCACTGCGAGTTAGTGTCAGGAGACTGAGACATCACTTTTTCTTTCTATGCTCAAATAAGATCACAGTTTCCACCAATAAAAATTCATTTTTGTTTCACCGCATTGAAAGGTAGAGAGGCACCTACTTCAGACTGATGGGAGAGTGTTTAAAAAAACAACATTTCAGACTATCTTTCTGCTCTATTTGTAGCAGACAGTCAGGTAAGGTTCAGATGTTTGAGTTCACAGGGAAAATCTCCTCCAACTGTCCAGTTGATACTGATCGCTCACCTGGTAGCACTGCACCGGAGCCAGAGTGTGTGTGTGTCTGTCTGTGTGTGTGTGTGTGTGTAAGTATGTGTGTTTGTGGGATTTAGTTTGCATGTGTGTGTATATGTCATTATCCTTTTAGTCACACAATGCATCATGCACAAACCCTTGATGCTTGCTCAAGATCCCATTTTGTATGTGTATGATAGTTATTGCCATGACAACCACCCAACCTTTGACTCATACCGCTGTCACACATTAGTGTTCCACACCTGTTGCGTTTCTATGGTGCCACTCCGTTGCCTTGGTTATGCATATAAACACATTTTTGAGGGGCGATCTAAGAACAGTGAGCAGCTGTGGAATCCCTCTGATCTTAGCATGTAATCTGATGAGCATGCCACTGGGACTCAAGGGGTAGCTTGTTTTGTCATGACTACTAACACACCGACACACATGCACACACATGAACCTTCTTCAAGAGTGTGTTTACTTTTTCTTTATTTCAAATGTCTTACATGTTTGAGTGAAATAGTGCTGTCTGTGACATCCACGTGATGTGTGACTACTTTGATAACCCATCACAACTTATAACACTGACAAGCAAACAAACTCAGTCACAATAATGCTGCGTTCCAGTTATCTCGGAAGTCGGAGTTGGGAATGACCGACACCTGAGTTGACGGCATTACAGTAAACAAGTCAGAAAACCAAGATGGACGCCAACTATTAGCCGTTGTCGCTACTTGATCTGACCCAGAAACCCGATTTGTACTGCGCATGTGCGAGATGTATGTCACTTCCTCTACTAGCCCTCTTTGCGACAGCTTCGATGATTGCTCAACATCTTCAGCATCAGCGAGCTCGCTTCAGTTTATTGATACTCCAGTTTATCAACAGCCACACGCTTTTTTTTCCTTCTGAACGGAGTGCTTCCTCTGACTGAAGCAAAACACCGGAAAGTCAAGAGAATGGCGCCCAGTTTTGCAAATAAAGGTTCCTACTACAACTTAATTGTAAAATTGCAACGTTGTTAGCTTGAATGAATGTGAATATTTCACTGTTGAAATTGTACGCTGTGTAAAAATGCTGAAATTCATTGTCCATAATGTGTAGGGTTCTTGTTAATAAATTTAATTTATAAAATAAAAGAAATAAATCCCCCCTTGATACTTTGAAAAGTCAGAGAACCATCATTTTGACCGGGTTTTGGCACTCTCTGTGGGCTGGGAAGGGTGCACAATGGGTGGCCACACACATCGAGAGCATCCCCCCTTGATACTTTGAATAGTCAGAGAACCATAATTTTGGCCAGGTGGTGGCGCTCTCTGTGGCCCAAAAGGTCTCATTCTGCTAGGCAGGAGCTCTGGCGAATGCCTCGGCATTAGCTCTGGAGCCTCCTGCTAGCGAGCCAACTTGTTTCTGAAACAATCAGTAGTTAAAATAAAGTTTTCAAGGTGAAGAAAATTTGCACTTGCGCAGTACGAATCAGGAAGGTAGCGGCTCGCTGCCGTAAAATACATTGAAATGCCAAGAGAGGAAGTGACATATGTTTCTCACATGCGCAATACAAATTGGGTTTCCGGGATGGATCGGGTATCGACAGCTGTTGTTAGCTGTTGTTTACTAGTATCAGCTGTCGTTTGCCGTTGTCAAGCTTTTGCTGTTACTCTTTACTGTTGATGCACTGCGCTGCCATTTTGGATTATGACATTGCCGTCAAGTCGGGGTTGGTGAGGATCGTCCAACTTTCCGAGTCAGAAATCTGACTTCAGGGGGCGTTCCAGATGAATTTCAAAATCAGTGCCCGGAAATTCTGACTTCCGAGTGCAACTGGAACGCAGCATAAGAACCTCGCTGAAGGGCGTTTTGACAACATTTATATCGTGTCACAAAGCCCATCCTGTGACGTCTGTCTGACATGTATGTAAGAAGTGTTGGGAAGCTTCCTGCTGTATCCAGATTAGCAGGAGAAGTTGAGTTCATCCTTTCATCAGAGGTAGAACACACACTGATCATCCAACACAGAGGCAGGCCAGGTTGAAAAGATGGATTAGAGAGAGGAGAGAGACAGATGAAAGACGGGATAGATGCACTGAGCAAGGCAGGAGAGATGAAAGAGTGGAGTGATGGAATGAGTGAAGGTCAAAAGAGAAAGAGTAAAGGATTGATGTGATTGATGTGATACAGCTTGTTCTCATAAGTCTGATGCACTCTGACTGCTCTGTGTGGCTGTGTGTGCGCGTTTATGCATCAAAGTGTGTGTTTGCGAAAAGTCTCTCTAACTATAGGCAGTAGGATAACTATTGATCTCTGGGTGTATCAAAGGAACTTGCATCTCACGAGATTTTTTCAATGACATTTGCATAACACACACACACACACACACACACACACACACACACACACACACACACACACACACACACACACACACACACACACTAACCTTAGTCCACGGTTTATCTAACAGTTGATAAAATCAGTCACAGTCCTTCTTTCACTTTTTCGTTCCTTCTTTGACTTCTGATTCAAAAGAAAAAAAATCCTCACCCTTACTTCCTTCCTTCTTCCTTCCTTCCTTCCGTCCTTCCTCTGTCTCCATCTTTTTCTCACTTTGGTTTCTGAAATATGAGCATATGTTGGAGAGGACATGGGGTTTTCCTGATAAACAGAAAGGCTTTTCCCTCTCATGTGGCTGTTTTTTGATGATTTGCCATACACCACAGTGGGATGAGAACCTTAGCTGAGTGTGTCACTGAAACATTATCATTTTAGTGTCAAGACTCTCCATATGTGCCTCTGTGCCGTCCCCCACATGTCCACTGTGACTACACCGCACACCATGTACTTCTTTCTTCATTTACTTTTCCCATTTTAAGGTGGCATGTTATTTTTCTGATTAAAACCACAAAGACCACGCTAAGATTACTGTCAGATTCCTGTCAGCATTTGTCAACCACAACAGCTGATAAACCATCAGCTGGCTGTTACCTGAGTCCTAATGGGGCGCTCACACCAAGCGCAAGTAAAATTATCAACTCGCTTAATTCGCATGAATCTAGACGCGTGAATGAATATTATTTATTTGCTTAATTTGCACGTCAACTGTAATTTTAACGCTAATCCCTGCCTTTTCAACCAGCGGGATCAAGTGATAGACAAAGGTTTTTACAATTTACCAGGTAATCCAACCCTCTCACTCACTTGCCTCCAGGCAAGATCCTTTTTATTCCTGTTTTAGTAATTGAAAGAAAAGTTATCATATAATTTGGGGCACCAACACACCGACATGATCAGTTTTTCCTCCATTTTAGATACCAGTGAACATCTGTCCATTTTAATACGTCACCCGGCAACCTTAGTGCTGATTAGTTATCACGACGCGAATATCGCTCAAGTTGAGACATTTTCAGTTCTCGCCAAATTCGCGTCATTCCCACCGCCAGAGTAGTAGGAGCGTCTGGTCATGTCTGGTCGTGTCTGGTCGTGTCTGGTCGTGTCTTTGCATTGGCCTTACATATAATTCATTCGCGCGAAGGATTTTACTCATGCTTGGTGTGTGGAGACAGTAGTACTGTCAATGCTTAGGACTGAAGTCAGACCCAAGACATATGCTGCGTTCGAGTTACCTTGGGAGTCAGATGTCTGAGCTGGAAATGACGTCACACTCGAGTAACCAGTGTTTTGGTTACCTAGTCAGAAAAAGTCTTCTTAAAACCCATTTTTATTCACTGGCTTTTAACCCTGCATGAGACTCTGCTCCTATTTTAGTGTTTTATTGTTTGTTTTTAGTTATTTGTTTCTATGTTTTTAAATTAGTTTTTAAAAACACTGAAACTATATTTTACTTTTAATTCTGCTTTTATTTTATCCATTGTTTGAATTGTTTTTTGATTGTTTTTTTTTTTTATCTAGTTGTTTTGTCTAGTTATGTACAGCACTTTGTTCAGCTGTCGTTGTTTTAAAGTGCTTTACAAATAAAGTTGAGTTGAGTTGAGTTGAAAAAAGCAAAATTGGAGGTGGAAACAAGATGTTGCAGAGGAACCGCATATTTGTCCAGAAGTTGCTTATATTCGGACAAGGCAAGCGCTAAAATAACTTTCGTAGATGTAGCCATCTTGTTTCCGCCTCCAATTTTGCTTTTTTCTGATTTGGTAACTGAAACGCTGGTAACTCAGTTGCGACATCATTCCCAGCTTGGAAAATCTGACTTCCAAGGTAACTCGTACACAGCTAGTCCTAGACTCCAGCACTACAACGCTACTTCAGATCTACCACCCAAGAAAAACACCCAAAGTTTTTTTTTTCCTGAGTCGATTCTCATCTTTTGGAGAAAATTAGGAACGGGAGAGTCAGGAACAGGCAGGCTGAAGATAAAAACGGTGGAAACAGCAGCTGGAAGTGAGATATCATGTCATCTCTGACCTTGAAGACGGAAAGAGGAGTGAGACAGATAGCAACAAGGGACAGACACAGCTGCCTGTAAGGTACAAACTGTATGCTGCAGCTAAAGAGGCAGAATGCAGAAGCACTCAGGGACCTGTTCTTCATCACCAATAGCCGTGATAGCACAGGGGGATGGGGTTTAAAAAAAAGTCAGAGAGAGGGAGAGGAAATGGGATGGAGATGTGTGATGAATAGTACAAAGAGAAGGAGGCTGATAACTGGTGCCAGACAGCTGGGAGTGTGTTCGTTTGATTGTGTGTGTGTGTGTGTGTGTGTGCTTGCATGTGTATATCCCAGCCTGTGTCTTTATCTGATCTGTGCTCCTGTTTGCCTGGGAGAAACTCACAACACCATCTTTTTTGTCCATTAAACATGATCTCATTTTGCTATAAAATAAAAACGCTGTGCTGTTACAATTCTGCACAAAAGTCAGTCGGCGACGAGCAGTGAAAACAGAACAGACCGTCTGACTGTGAGCTTAGACGTGCGAGCCCTCTCACTCTGTATCCTCATTGCGTGTGGCTGCAAGGTCACAGGGCTAGACAGCCAGCTTCATGGTTGCACACACACTCACTCACAAACACAAACACATTAACTGATCATGCCGCCAGAGAGGGGATTAGGCTGAGAAGCCGACAGGGTTAGGAGGGTTAGGGTAAAGTCCGTGCATGTGTTTGTGTGTGTGTGTGCGTGTGTTAGTTTTTATGCGGGTGTGTGGCGGGAGCAACCCACGCTGTCATGGCATGCAGAATTAGAATTAAAACTGATTTCCGATTTATTTTCTCAAGAGTGAGTCGGCAGCTGTGCATGGAGGGAGAGGCTGTTTTTCTAAAAGATGGTTTCACACATGAAGTAGCAACTAAAAAGATCTAAATTATTCATGAAGAGTTGTTTAGCTGTGAGATGATTACCAAAAGAATCGTGCTAGCCTTAAGAGTCCTGATCTACTGTGAACTTTCTTGAACTTCCTCTGATCCCAGAGGGAGAATTCACCGTTCAGCTCGGCTTATTCCACATGAAGATTTAAGCATAGGAGTCAACAGAATAACAGCTGTATGGATTTGGTGTCTCGCTCAAGTACTTTTCAATGACACTTGAAATTATAAAAGCATACTCTGGGAGATTACGTTTCCCGCTGCCTGAATATGATATGTAGCTACAATTAAGCTGAATCCTACTTTAAAAATAGAGGTTAGTAAAACTCTGTAGTCAGTTGTGTAATTTACCGATTCTACAAATGCAGAAAATCAAGTGACCATGCCATGAACTTTGTGTCTCAGGGGAGCAGAGGAGACGGAGAGAGAGGAGCAGCTGCGCCAACAGAGACACACTGAGTAAAACCAACTCAGGTACGCTAAACTTCTTTTTCTTTCCACTTTTTCCTCTACATTTATTTTTCTTTTTGCCTCACGATAAATTTGCATTCTCTATTTTCTCCACTTTTCCCAAAATAACTGTAATCATCCCATTTATTTTCTTCCAAATCACACACTTCCTTTGGTCCATTTCTCCACTCAAACTCTCCAGAGAGAGAGAGAGAGAGAGAGAGTGAGTGAAGGGGAGGGCTTGGATAGTGTCATCTGAGATCTACTCTTGGATCAGTTGAGGAGATCTTAGGCTCCATAAAGTGCCAGTGACACAGCAGAGTCTTGTTTGAGGGTGGCGCAACAGATGGAAGCACTCCTTACTTGGCGTGGAGTTATGTTCCTCACACACACACACACATACAGGCATGCACAAACACATTAATGTGTACAAAGAGGCGCACACAATATTGTAGAAACTCAGAGGTGTAGTGATGCCTCTGTTGAGCTGCATCACACTAACACACAGGCAGACACATGAGTGCACACACCCTACCCACAGACAGATGTACACACAGCAGCGCCTCTCATCTTTCCATCGCAGGCGTTGAATGTGGGGTGTGTATTTTTCTCATGGAATTTACTGGTATTCTCTTTCTAAGCCACTGGCAGCCTGGTGCATTCAATTACACTGTCGATTTATTTCCCTTCCCACACAACAGTCTCTGATCTCACCCTCTGGCTCCTATACAGCTCAACATATGATAGCACTCCTCTGGGGGGTGGAGGCTATTTCAGAGGGAATAGAGGTGCCTTGAGGGAGGGAGCAGACCCCTATTGCTGAAAGAAAAGTGTAATCAGAGACAACAGGTTTCAAAACTACTAAAAACTGGAGACCACTGAGGATGAAGATGATGTTTGTTTGTTCAAGAAGCTTTGTTTTTTTTCTATAGAAATCAATAGGTAAGTCAAATGGCTTTTATTTTGTCTTTTAAATACTCAATTTTTGTAAATTTCCCCTGCAGCACACTCACATTTAACACATTGATGTGTCTCTGTCATTTTTCAATAACTTAAAGGTGGGGTAGGCAGGAATCTGGTAAAGAAGCATCTTTTTTTGTGGTGTATATACAAAAAAGCTTTTGATATCAGTCAATAGCTTTTAGTTATTGATGACATTTGGTAATATAATGGTATCACTGTGTTTTGTTATGTCTGTGTAGTCAACATTTTATATTTTCACAGCGCCCCACTCTTTCTGACTGTAAACAAAGCCGTTCTCCGCCTCTCCCATCCTGATTGGTTGTGAGGCAGACACTGCGCCCTTGTGTCGTTCACGAGTCCAAACAAAGTTAGCGTGCTACAATATCGGACAGTAGAAACCAACCAGTAAGTACAAGAAATTGTCTGAATCCTCCTTCAACCACGACCGCCAACACAAGCAAGAAAACAAAGTAAATACAGGAGACTCTGGCAGAATAACAGGTGTTTAAAAAGGAGGTAGACCACCCGGACAAGAGCTAAAAAAGCCGGGTGAACAATGATAGGGGACGCTTTGGGATCTTACAGACCCTGTACCCTTTCTGCTGGACAGGTAAACCACTTTAACAAAGTAAGCCAAGTGTCTTTAACAGAAGTGTTTCTTGTCAAAAGGGACCTGCTGCGTGTTGTAGCGCCCCTAAACTGTTGACCTTGGGTCCTGGAGTATGTCACTTTATCCTAGTTGTAGAAGTCCTACAAACATTGTGTTTGCTGGTAGTCTGTTGGCATCTACAGTAGCACCAATGCTTTTTGCTTTCACATTGACTGGGCCCCATTTGTAATTATCTGAAGTATTTATCAGCTTTAAGCAGCTTTTAGTTTTTATGCTCCTCATATCTGGAACAAACTCCCTGAAAACTGTAGGTCTGCTGAAACTCTCAGCTCTTTTAAATCACAGCTGAAAACGCATATGTTTGCTGTGGCCTATCATTAAATCAAACCTGAGGCCTTTAATCAACATCTTCATCATCTGCCTGTCTTGATCTTTTTTTTTTCTATCTATCCAATCTAACCTTTGTTTTCTTTTATCTCCAATCTTATTTTAGCTTTGAATGTAACTTTTAATCTGTTAAATGTCTTTTACGCTGTTTTTACTTTTTAAATTGTGTTGAATGTTTTGCCTGCTTGTTTCATGTAAAGCACCTTGAATTGCCCTGCTGCTGAAATGTGCTATACAAATAAACTTGACTTGACTTGACTTGACTTATCTGCATTATATCTGAATTTAACTGGAACGATACAAGCAAGAACAGGCGTCTGTTTGTGGATGGGGCTTGCTGGAGCAGAGAGGGAGGGGAGAGGAGGAGCTGAGGGGAAAACTGGTTGAGAGGGGTAGAGTTTACATTCAAGCTTTCTCCCCAAAAAGTGGCGCTTCCTCAGATCCTGCCTACCTTACCTTTACATTTCTAACAAACATTTTTTTGGGAAATTTGGAATAAACTTCTCCCTTTTGGCGATATCACCTAATTGCTCTCAGGTCTAACTCTTTCTGTCCTCAAGCAAATCGTTTCTATTGATCAGGGTTAAAACCCATGAAGACAACCACTACAGACCATTACCCACACTTCTTAGTTTTGTCTCCTAAAATGTGCGCATTAGCATACTTTTTTTGCATACAATTGTTCACAGTCAGAACTACCACAGTGATTTGACACTGAGTGGGTGTGGGATTCGGGGTTGGCCTAGTTTTGGTGTGTTTGTGTGCCAGCCTCTTAACTTTTAGGATCCTAATAGGGTTGGAGAATAAACAGCTTTGCTCTTATGTAACTGCTTTGCACTGATGCCTCCACTAACCCTGTGACCTGTCAGTGTAGATTTACTGTTTGCCTGCAGGTGTGTTCATTTGTACGACTGTTTAAAACATGTATACACATGCCCTTAAAGATTATAACGTGTGGGCAATGACTGATCCTATACACTCATCTCCTGCATTTTTCTACAGGTTTAAAAAAAAAGAAAAGAGTTGGGGAAGAAACATGAGTGTTGGTTGCCGTGCCAACACAGGTGCAACACCTTACAGGAGCAGAGAGAGGAACAAATTAATCAGAAGTGCTACTCAGCTGAAGAGGAAGTGACACAGCTGGAGGAGGCTTTGGAGAAGGTTCATCAGGATATGAGAGCTGAAAGGAGAAACATCATGACTGTGTGTCTGCAGTGTTTTTGTTTTTTTTATAACTGCTCACCTTACCTTGTATTTACTATCTATTGGATTTTAGCTCTTTTGATGGAACATGCTAAACACAGTCTTAACTGGAAATACCAAAAATTGTTGAGGCTAATGAACACTTGCCATGCAAAGATATGTTTTGGTCTTTTGGTAACACTTTATTTGATGCCTATCTCTATAATGCATTATAAATATATTAATAATGCATTATAATCATGTTATAACATTGTATAACTTAGTTAGAAACACTCATAAATGATCATAATGCTTTATAGCAATAATCATAACACATTATAAAGCATTTTATCATGACTTACAAGGTCAGGTATTATTATGTGTTATAACTGTTCATAATACATCATAATACCTGACCTTGTAAGTCATGATAAAATGCTGTATAATGTGTTATGATTATTGCTATAAAGCATTATGATCATTTATGAGTGTTTATAACTATAGTTATACAGTGCTACAACGTAATTATATAACATGCGTTATAAAGATAGGCGTCAAATGAAGTGTTACCAGTCTTTTTATAAGAGATACTAAGGAGTTTAGAAATAATCCTAAATATAAAGTAGCATATGTATAAAATTTAGATATATAACAGTTAGATATATAACAAACTAGATCTTTAAAGAGCTTTAAAAATAAGACACAACCAAAAATGAGGCAGCAGTGACTTACTCACAACTACGCTTGTATGCTTCAGTTATAAAACAAGAAGTAGCTTTTCAAACTTTGTTAGACAACCACCTAATCTTGGCATGACAGAGTCAAAATATCAACCACCACCTTCACTTTGAGTTAAAATGCTGACCGGCTGACGCAAGCAGGGTGTCAGCCTTTGTGCGTAGAGAAGCCCTGGTCCCTTGTTAGGATCAGACTGTTTTGTTCTATTGTTAAATATTTACCTCTTTTTATTTTGTGCCGGAGAGGACAAGGGGTGAGTACAGGCAGGAATCCTGTGTATGTGTTCTTGCCTGCGTCTTTCCACAAGAACACGGTGACTAGATGTAATAGAGAGTTGGGAGCTCTGCCGCTCAGTTATGTAAGGTGTAGCTCCCTGTGTGGCTGGATCACACTGCCCTGCACACTGCTCAATAACTTGGCTTTTACCAATGTTTATCCATGGCAATACTCCATTTATTTATTTTATTTTTTTGTCTAAGCACCCCTCATTTAAGATAAGCTGATGCACCCTGCACCCAAGGATCTTTGAAAATGCTACATCAATGACAGACTTTGAGTTTCTGAGAAACCCACCGCTAATCAAGTAAAGATGAAAATGATTGGAGCTGAGATTGGATAGCTTTGTTGCTCTTGGAAAACAGACTTCATGACCTCAACTTGTAAACTTTGAAGACGAAGAGGAAGGAAGGAAACATCATTGTCATATTTTTTACTTTAGTTTACTCATTACAATAATATTTCTGTGTAATTAAAAGTTAATCAAAACAGGCAGTGTGGTCCAAATCTTGTCTGCTAAGTAGTTTAAAGTTGACTTTATATCACAATGGTCCTGTAGACCTTTTTCCCATACTTCAGTTTAATGAGATGACAGAAAGCGAAGCTGGGTAATTAATGTAGATTTTTCCAAGTAGTTTTCTGAGAGTTTCTAAAGTATCAGTTCACCTTGTCTCACATCTTAGCAACACTGTAAGGAAATGTTAAAAGACAAAACATTAGCATTTGGTAAGGATGGCCCCTTCAAGAAGGAATTCCATTATTTCCATAGTTCCTGTTTGTTTACTCAGACAGTTGTTGTTTTACTGTGAAAGTGAT